TTTCTTTCTTTCTTTCTTTCTTTCTTTCTTTCTTTCTTTCTTTCTTTCTTCCCCCTCCCTCTCCTATTTGGTGGGTGGGGAAGAGAGTGTATGGGCAAAACAAAGTTTTTTAAAGTGTGTCATAGTTGCCCAGCTAAGATACCTTCGAACGACGGTCACAATTTTTGCCTCCTTTGTCTGGGGGAATCCCATAGGGTCGATAGCTGCGTCCATTGCGCTAGTTTTACTAGGCAAGGGAGGCTTGGCTTAGGGCTGTCCTTTTAGAAGCAGCTTTGCACCCTACGATGTGTTCAGCAGCTTCTCATCCTTCTGTCCCTCAAAGATCGGATGGGGCTCCGAAGGCACCAAAGCTACAACCTAAACGGCCTGAGGATAAGGCTCCGTCAAAATCTAAAGTCAAGCCCTCGACATCGGCTTTGACTTCGGCTGTCGACCCGGTCGTCATCACCGGTTTAACAACATCGACTCCTGCTGTGGCTGTTGTGTCCCACAAGTCCACTTTGCGGCCTCCGACACCACCGCCTACACTTTCTTCAGCGTCGGGCCTTATTCCGCTGACTTGTCATCTCACTGGGACTCACGATCTCTGTCTCCACACTCCTGTACCCCAATTTGGAGGGCAGGGTGAATTCTGTCGGCTATCGTTCTCAATCTCGTTCTTAATACGACCGAAAGCATCTCATTTGTTGTCCGTCACCTTCCACCCAGGATCGCCTTCTGATGACCAATACTGGTCTCCTGATGAACGACATCGGCCTGCGTATTATCCGTATTACTATTTGAGGTCTCCTACTCCTCAGCGGCACCACTATGATTGGCTACATCACTCTGAATGTACTGAGCATTGACACATTCCGGTTCATGACAGACGTTCTCAATCAGTGACTTCGACCCGCTCTGTGGCTCCTGCCCAGCCTCCTGAGCTCTCAAGACCTAGGGATGCCCCGAAGTGTTCTCCCTCAGAACCTCGGCTTCATCCCCTTGCTGATGACCAGATACTGGCTGATCTCACTCAGCCGCTGAGATCGTCCTCTCCCATGTCGATCTCCGACAACTCGGACTCGGGAGACCTAGAACTCGATGTTCTGCACATCGACAATGAGCCTCTGCGCTCGGGTTCTATTTCCTCCATTGAGAGCCCAAAGGCTTATTTGGAACTGGTGACCAGGATGGCCTTGGCGCTTCAAGTCCAGGGTTCCTCGGAGTCCCCTGCTGTGACCGATGTTGTTCACAAGCTGGTTCAGGCCGACCTCCCACCTTCTACGGTCCTGCCTCTGCTGTCGGTCCACCTTTCTGCCCTTAAAGAGTCGTGGGTCCATCTGACTTCGATTACCCCGGTCTCCAGACGATACGAAGCTCTCTATAAAGTCCAAGAGAACTTGGGGAAATTTCTCTTCAGTCAGCCTCCGCCGAATTCGATGGTGGTACATTCTCCCTCGAAATCGAAGCAATCTGCCCGCCACTCGGCGCCTCCCGATTGAGAGGGTCGCAAGTTCGATGCCATCGCAAAGATGTATTCCTTCGCCTCTATGAACCTTAGTATTGAGACCTAACTGTCATACCTGTCAGCTTATGCTTTTAAAGTGGCTAATGCAGTACGTCCTGTCTTGGAGTTTGTTCCGGAGGAACACCGTCCCACCTTGTCGGGTTTTGTCAGAAATTTGTACAATCTTGAAACAACAGATCAATTCAGTCCGACATGCTGTCACTTGCTCCTCAAAGGTCCTTGTCTCCTTTTCGGATTGAAGACCTCCCGTTCGATGGCAAAAGTCTCTTCCACTCCACCATTGACGAGGCCTTGAAAGCCGTTGATGATAGTCGGAAGCAGGCTCGGAACCTAGGTGTCTCGACCTTGATGCCTCGACCTCAGTATTATGCAAGGCGCCAGCCATCTTCCGCGCCCACCTCCCAATGGAGAAAGAGGCCCTATGACTCCCGTCACTCGGAATAGGGCGTGCCAACAGGCTCCTAAAAAACCCCAGCAACCCAAGCAGTCTGTTTGACCGCTTCAATCGCCTGCCGTCTCCTCCGTCGTACACCCCTCCCATCTGGACCCGACTCTTCCCCTTTCTGCCAACGTGGGAAGGGATTCCCACCGATTCCTGGGTCCTTACCATCCTACGGGTCGGGTACGCCATAGAGTTCGTTTCGCCTCCCAACCTACCTCACGTTCTCATCACCCTCCCAGATCCTCTCCTCCATCTCGAGATTTCTGTGCTTCTGGCCAAGGGCGCCATTGAGGTCGTCCTGGAGGCTCAACGAACCCTAGGTTTCTACTCCAAGTATTTCCTCGTACTGAAGAGGGATGGCGGCTTCAGGGCCATTATGGATCTTTGGGATCTGAATCGATACGTTTGATGCCACAGGTTCAGCATGGTCACCTTACAGTCCATCCTGCTGGGCCAGACCAGTGAGGGTCCCTCTAGTCCAGCCTCCCGTCTCACACAGTGGCCAGCCAGTTCCTCTGGAGGGCCAACAACAGGGCAGAGCGGCCGAGACCTTCCCCTGAGAAGGACATCAGGAGAGCCCTGCTGGGTCAGACCAGGGAGGGTCCCTCTAGTCCAGCCTCCCATCTCACACAGGGGCCAGCCAGTTCCTCTGGAGGGCCAGCAACAGGGCAGAGAGGCCGAGGCCTTCCCCCGATAAGAACCTCAGAAGAGCCCTGCTGGGTCAGACCAGGGGAGGGTCCATCGAGTCCAGCCTCCTGTCTCATGAAGTGGCCAACCCGTTTCTCTGGAAGGCCAACAACAGGACAGAGAGGCTGAGGCCATCCCCTGATAAGAACCTCAGAAGAGCCCTGCTGGATCAGACCAGGGGAGGGTCCATCGAGTCCAGCCTCCTGTCTCATGAAGTGGCCAACCCGTTTCTCTGGAAGGCCAACAACAGGACAGAGAGGCTGAGGCCATCCCCTGATAAGAACCTCAGAAGAGCCCTGCTGGATCAGACCAGGGGAGGGTCCATCGAGTCCAGCCTCCTGTCTCATGAAGTGGCCAACCCGTTTCTCTGGAAGGCCAACAACAGGACAGAGAGGCTGAGGCCATCCCCTGATAAGAACCTCAGAAGAGCCCTGCTGGATCAGACCAGGGGAGGGTCCATCGAGTCCAGCCTCCTGTCTCATGAAGTGGCCAACCCGTTTCTCTGGAAGGCCAACAACAGGACAGAGAGGCTGAGGCCATCCCCTGATAAGAACCTCAGAAGAGCCCTGCTGGATCAGACCAGGGGAGGGTCCATCGAGTCCAGCCTCCTGTCTCATGAAGTGGCCAACCCGTTTCTCTGGAAGGCCAACAACAGGACAGAGAGGCTGAGGCCATCCCCTGATAAGAACCTCAGAAGAGCCCTGCTGGATCAGACCAGGGGAGGGTCCATCGAGTCCAGCCTCCTGTCTCATGAAGTGGCCAACCCGTTTCTCTGGAAGGCCAACAACAGGACAGAGAGGCTGAGGCCATCCCCTGATAAGAACCTCAGAAGAGCCCTGCTGGATCAGACCAGGGGAGGGTCCATCGAGTCCAGCCTCCTGTCTCATGAAGTGGCCAACCCGTTTCTCTGGAAGGCCAACAACAGGACAGAGAGGCTGAGGCCATCCCCTGATAAGAACCTCAGAAGAGCCCTGCTGGATCAGACCAGGGGAGGGTCCATCGAGTCCAGCCTCCTGTCTCATGAAGTGGCCAACCCGTTTCTCTGGAAGGCCAACAACAGGACAGAGAGGCTGAGGCCATCCCCTGATAAGAACCTCAGAAGAGCCCTGCTGGATCAGACCAGGGGAGGGTCCATCGAGTCCAGCCTCCTGTCTCATGAAGTGGCCAACCCGTTTCTCTGGAAGGCCAACAACAGGACAGAGAGGCTGAGGCCATCCCCTGATAAGAACCTCAGAAGAGCCCTGCTGGATCAGACCAGGGGAGGGTCCATCGAGTCCAGCCTCCTGTCTCATGAAGTGGCCAACCCGTTTCTCTGGAAGGCCAACAACAGGACAGAGAGGCTGAGGCCATCCCCTGATAAGAACCTCAGAAGAGCCCTGCTGGATCAGACCAGGGGAGGGTCCATCGAGTCCAGCCTCCTGTCTCATCTAAATATATAAAATTATTTATGATAGGTTATAATTCATCTGTGCACGGTATCTGTTGTATGTTTGTTTTCCTACTTACCGTGGGTCCTTGTTTGGGTTTTGTGAACTTCCGTAGGCTCCAGCCAGTCGCTCTGCCCACTGTCCTGCCTCTTGGAGGGTATTAGGGCTCTTGTCCACCAGGGGGCACCTAATGTACTCAGGAGGAAGAGTCAGGAACCGGTCAATGCACATCAGGGCCCTGACATCAATGAGGGTCTTGGCCTCAGCGACCTCCACCCAGAAGTCATAGGCTTTTCCCAGTCTGTGTACTAACTGGGTAGGACTCTTTCCGTTCAAGTCTGATCTCTCTAAAGCGCTTCCGGGCTCCTTCCTTGGTGAGCCCCACCCTCTCTCGCACTCTCTGCTTAAACAGCTTGTAGTCTGTTCTCTCTTCACCCTCCTTCTGCCCAGACACTGAAGCTAGGACACCACTCAACTGCGGTCTCAGCTTTTCCATATACAGCTCTGAGGAGGCCTTGTAGTCGATATAGACTTGTTCAAAATTCTGCAGGAAAGCCTCAATGTCTTCCCCTTCCTTGAACCAGGGGTACTTCCGACGGTCCTCTTTCCCCGTGGCATCTGTAGGAGGTTGGCCCTTCTCTAGCCTAGCCATCTCAAGCTCATGCGCCAGCCTCATTTTCTCCCTTTCTGGTTCCATCCTAGCTGCAGCCTCTCTCTCGTCTTTCTGGAGCCTTGCTTTCTCTAACTCAAGGTCTGCCTGTTTGAAGTTGCAGCTGGAGACGTAAGGTCTCTTCACTCAGGGATGCCATTGCTTTCTCTGATGTGTCTTCCACCGACATGAGACCTGCAGCCCCTATTCGGGTCTTGCATCTGGCAACAGACGTGTCCTCTGATTTTTCTTTCCCAGATCGGAGAAACACGCACTATCTAACTCTGCCTCACTATCCAGTTGACCCGACAACTAGAACATAAACAAAACCTTTTCACCACACCTTACCAGACCCTTACTTGGTCTTGCAAGCACCTTCAGACAATGGGGCTTCCTTAAGCCCAAAAGCAAAAAAACATTTTTTTGTCTCTCTCTGCCAAGGCCAAATGGCTTTTCCTGTTGTACCAGTTCTTTTATTTCCCCAGCCCTCTTCTTCCCTATTGGTCAAGATCGGCACCAAAACTGCCCAAGGCCTTCTGGGGTTTGTAGGCACAGCCTCCCCTACTGCTAGCCAGGCTCCCAGGGCCTGCTAGGCCTCTGATGGCACAGCCCAGATCATGACAGCTTCAGTTGGCAGCAGACAAACTGGGCACAAGGGAAGGCAAAGGGGCAGCAGCTCCGGGGGCGTATTGGAGCCCCAGAGGAGGAGAGCCTCCCCCCCCGGTGGGCGTTGCCTCCAGCCGCCTCCCTGCCTACACGCACACTTGCACACCCGGATCGTCGCTTCTCCCCCGGGAGGGGCGGTCTGTTCGTGGGGCTGCAGGCGGGTGTGCCTCCCTGTCAGGTAGTCCGGCTGTCCGTGGGATGGCGCCTGACCTTGGTGGTGCCTGCGTTTTGATGTGCAGGTGCGAGAGGACACCTACAAGATGGTGCACGGGCTGCAGACCCAGGTGCAAGGCCAAAAGCTGTACGTCACCAAGGAGTCCCTGTACCAGCAGCGGGTGGAGTCGGAGGGGCTGCGGCGGCGCCTGCAGGAGGCCGAGTCTTGGCTGCAGAAGCTGGGCTTCCTGGCCCTCCTGGTGAACTTCCTCATCTGCCAGAGCCTGGTCTCCATCGTGCAGGAAGAGGTCACCACCTTTGTCAGCCACACCATGCAGGTCTCGTGCCCCAGGAGACCGCCGGGGGGGGGGGGGGGCCGGTTTGGGCGGGGGGGGGGGGA